CCCCCCCCACTGGCTGCTCAGTGAAAGGATACACGAAGAACCAGGCGGTGAAGAACATGCCAATGGCCAGGAGCACCACGGTCAGATGGGGAAAGACAGCCGGGTTCACCGGGCTGGTATACCTGCTCATGGCCTCGAGCTCCTGGGGAGGACATGAAGTCAGAGCCATCGAAGGACCCTGACGGCAACCGGTCGTAGTGGGAGGCGGTGTTCAAAGGACAATAATACCAAAAGTAATGACAATGACATCTTAAACCTGGTCTTTGCAAGGAGACAAAGACAGCCGAGTCAATCATCGGTCTTAAACGTTTTTTGGAGGTCCTTGACTCCCATGGCAACGTGACAAAAGGCATAGCCTTCTACCTGGGGAGACAACCCAAGAAAAACAGCAGCCTACCATTTTGGAGACTTGCTACCTACCTGTCTAAAGAAAACCAGGTTAAGAATCCCTGCCGGAAGTCACGGAACCAGGGCTGGTACCCAGCCCTCAACTTTGAATTCAGTGTTTTCCCCACAGCACAAGGATGATCTCCCCAGACACAAGGCATCCATTAGGATTCTGGCACTACTGGTGAGCGTAAGATTCTGCAAAGTGGCTATCAGAATATCGACCTCACAGGGTTGGGGTTGGATTTAGGAAGATGGTGAACGACAAGGCTGGCACAGTTCTCACTCAATAGGTGTCTGTTATCTTCCTAAGATTATAAGGAAGCTGAGGAGATAATGCCTGAGAGAAAAGGGAGCTACAACCGTAAGGTTCTGTACACATGCTAATTCCCATTGTCAGCCATCAGCCCCCACCCCACCCCACCCCCTTTGAGCATCCAGAACACAACAAACTCCGGAGGAGTCAACGGGCCCCATTGTTCTGGGAGACACTGGAGTTCCATTCAGCAAACATTTATCCCCCAGCCCACGCCCGAAAATGATCAGGACAATCGCTGCCATTTATGGAACCTCTGTCGCCGGCCCAGTGTTTGGCACTGGGAATACAAAGATAAATAGACATCATCGCCGAGCGAGAGACGCGCCAGCTGGAGGTCACCAGCAAGCGTGGCAGATAACAAAGAAGTCCGTGAACCGTGGTGAGAGGTCTGCACGGAGCTGGGGGGGCTCCCGGGACAGAACAGACAGCAGCCCGTGAGCTGGGGAAGGCTTCGCCAAGATGACATTTGCTCGGGGCCGTGCAGGCTGAGGACGAGTTCGGTCCGGGGAAGAACTTTCCCTAGAGATAGCACCTTGGGCAAAGGCTCCAAGGTATTAAAAGTGCCCCCCCGGCCCCCGCGTCCTCCCACTCGTGCACATCTCGCCATCAGAAGCCCAGTGTGCTCAAAACTTCGGCCGCCGAGTCCACCGCGAAGAAGGGCTTCCCTCCCCCGGCCCTCGACCTCGGCCCGAGGTTGCTGGAGCTCGCAGCCCGTGGGCCGCGGCCGCCTAAAGTCTCTGCCGGAGAAACGGGGGCGAAGCGGAGGCTAAGGGGCCTCCACAGCCGGATCCCTCAACCCTCTCACCATTTTGCCAGGCACCGGGTTCGCCGCCGCTTCGCTACCGGAAGAACACGTCGGCAGGAACTGGCGCCCAGTCCGGACGGAAGAGGCGGGAACCCCTGGCAAGAGGCATTGTGGGACTTGTAGTCCTGTAATGGGGGCTGGCCCGTAGTGCAAGCCGGAGTTTGAATGGGGGCCTGGTGTGAAGTTGGGGAAAACTGGAGAAGGGCAGTCAGGGATCGTTGATATACAGTATTTTCTTCGTGCTGGCAGGACTGTTTTCCTAGAGAAAGCGGCCGAAGGGGACCGGGGCCTGGACTACAATTCCCGTGAGGCTGTGCGCGGCGAGCGGCTCACGTGACGGGAGCGCGGGCTTTGGGAGACGGCGGCGCGGGAGGCTGCCTGCGACACCCCCTGAGGAAATTGTGAGGTTTGGGGACCGTCCCGGGCCGCGTCCTCTGTCGATACCAGACCAACCGTTAGCTGCCCAGGCCGTGGGCAAAGCCCAGGTGAGACCCTGCGGGAAGCGCGGGAGCGGCGGCGACCACTGCGCTGCTTTTGGGGGGTCGGGAGCGCGGGGCGGCCGCGCGCGGCCTTCGCAGCCAGGTTCTCCCGCCACTTTCCCGCTTGGAGCCGAGGGCCCTTCTCCCGACCTCCGGGCCCTTTTCTTATTTCCCTGTGTGGACAGAGGGTGATAGCCTGCGTTTTGGGGTGTCGCCGTGTGTTCTGACTACCATCCTGAGCGAGAGAGCACGCGGTGTATCTTCGCGTGGCCCCCCTTTCCTGCTTGTCTCTGGGATGCGGTGCGCTAACACTCCCCGAGTACCCTTTCTGAACCCCCCGGCGGCGCGCCGATGGGGCGCTGGCCTGCCGACCGCCAGCAAAGATGGGGCAGCCTCTGACCACCACCCCCTCCCCGGCCGGTCCGCCCGCCTGCCCGCGCCGGGGTCGCGACGGGTGAGAATGGGCCAGGGTACATTCCAGCCAGGCTGGCACCCCATGTCTGTAGGGGCCTCGTTGCAGACAGGCCTGGTTATGGACCCTCACCCCCCCTGCCCCCCCAGCTCAAGCGACTTATAAATGTCTCGCCGAGATGATGGCAAAGGCTGGGGTCCAGATGCCAGGCCAGTGCTTTGGCACTAACTCAGGCTGGCCAAGGTCCACGGAGGGTGTGAAGGATTTGTGCAAGGCTACTCACCAGAAACTTAGGGGTGCCAACTCAATCGGTGGTGCTGCAGAAGAACTCACAGGTAAACAAGGGGCCGTCTAGCTCGGAAGCAACAAAGCCCACATGGAAGAAGCACACCAGCCTGTGCCATCACGAGGTGTCGAAGGGCTCCGGTATAGGCATCAAAGAACAAAAAATCATATCATTGTGAATGAGGGGGCGTGCGGAGTGGCGACCCAAAGCCCATCTGTAGGCAACTGGACACCCCCTTACAGAAGGGTCTAGGGGAGGAGAAGAGCCAGTCAGGGTGCAGTGTAGCAACGATGAAACATACAACTATCTTTCCTCTAGTTCCTAAATGCTTATTAAAAAAAAAAAACCCACACTATCATGATCCCAGCTCCACCTTACAAATCTGACTAGACCAGAGGATGGAAACTGGAAACACAAGGAATCCAGGACATATGATCCCTTCAGGACCAGTGGTGAGAGTGGCTATACCGGAAGGGTGGGGCAGAAAGGGGGAACCGATTACAGGGGTCTACATATAACCTTCTCCCTAGGGGATGGTAACAGAAAAGTGGGTGAAGGGAGACTACAGACAGTATAAGGTATGACAAATAATAATAGTTTGTAAATTATCAAGGGTTCATGAGAGAGGGGGGACTGAGGGAAAAAAATGAGCTGATACCGGGGGCTCAAGTGGAAAGCAAATGTTTTCAGAATGATGATGGCAACAGATGTACAAATGTGCTTGACACAATGGATGGATGGATTGTGATAAGAGTTGTACAAGCCCCCAATAAAATGATTTAAAAAAAAAAAGATCACCACCCAGAATCCCCACTGGAGCTGTGCTGCTCTGACGTGTGTCGGGTGGCCATGGGTTGGAATAGAGCCGACTTCAACAGGCTTGGTTTGGTGTATTCACGGTGTGGGGGTGGTTGTGGTCGGTCAACCTTTCTGCTGTGTTTCAAGGCTGTTGGGTAGTTTGGAAGCCAGGGCATGGGTTCCATTCTGAGGTGTTTGGACTGGATTAGGGGGACGACTGAACTGGGTCACTCAGGCTGAAGGAGCAGCCCTGGGACCAGGAAGGGGGAGAGGGGACCGAAAGAAGCCTAGCCCTAGACAGGTATTGCTTTGAGTTGAACACACACTACCAGCGGGGGCACAGTGATTTTAAGTGGCATCCCAGCAATCTTAATTTTAATAGTTACACACTTAAAACCCATCTGTAACTCTTAACTGCTAGAGTGGAGACTTTCTTACTTAAAATGAGTTTTCTTTTTCAACGGATTTTATTTACAAAACAAAAGCATTTTCTGTTCAATGGGTTTTTGTTAGATGTAACGTGAAGGGTGGATTGGGCTGGGCCAAGGTTTGGGAAATCCTGCCTTATGAAAGCTCTGCTACAGGGCCCATGGGACTACTGTATGCCAGACCCCTGGACCAGAGCCTGTGGGGGACCTGGAGTTCACATTTCAGAGTTAGGGATGGAGAGAAAATTTAAAGGGGAAAGACTTCAAACTGTTGGTGTCAGAAGTTAGGAGCTCCTCAGTGCTGAGAATCCTGAAGGGAAAAAGGTGTGGTGACCATGTTACCCTCATTCAGAGCCATTGTTGTTGCCAATCCTGCTAGGCTGCTAAAAGGATTGAGTTAGGGGTGTTTAATGAGTGGGATGAAGACACGGGAAATAGGTTATAGTCAGTGATTAACAAGAAGATAGACACTCCTCTATTCTCAGACTACTTTACATACAGTCAGTTTGGTTTTATGCTTACTCTTGTACCATTTTGCCGCCTTTGTTGCATTGATCATTGCCTGTCCTGGATTCAGTTCTGCCTGGACTCCAACCAAGCACAGCCAAGCTCTCCGCTGGGCTTCCCAGATCCTTGACGCAGACCCCTGTTGTAGCCCTTATTTCATGCCAGATTAGCCCACCTCTTTCTCCACAAACTTCTAGGCCCTTTGGCCATCAGTGTTGTCTTACTCCCCTTCGCACCGAGTCTCACAGGGACTCAGTGAGCCTTAGTTACTACCCATTGGACGAATGTGTCTCGGAGACCGGGAGTTTCTAGAGAATGACAGGACCAGGGCTTATTCACCTCTCCAGCTCCAGTGAGATTCCGTGCTGAATTTGTTAGTTGACGGTCTGAAGTTGAGGAGATAGCAACAGTTAGAACCCTCTCTCTTATCTTCAAGGGCCGCTTCTTAATAGCTTTTTTCTTTCTTTTTAAGTTGCCCTGCCTCTCTGCTGCCATGGGAATTCAAGGCCTGGCCAAATTGATAGCTGATGTGGCCCCCAGCGCCATCCGGGAGAATGACATCAAGAGCTACTTTGGCCGCAAGGTGGCCATCGATGCCTCCATGAGCATCTATCAGTTCCTGATCGGTGTTCGGCAGGGTGGTGAAGTGCTGCAGAATGAAGAGGGTGAGACCACCAGCCACCTGATGGGCATGTTCTACCGCACCATCCGCATGATGGAGAACGGCATCAAGCCAGTATATGTCTTTGATGGCAAGCCACCGCAGCTGAAGTCGGGCGAGTTGGCCAAGCGCAGCGAGCGGCGGGCTGAGGCGGAGAAGCAGCTGCAGCAGGCTCAGGCCACCGGGACAGAGGAAGAGGTGGAAAAGTACACCAAGCAGCTGGTGAAGGTCACCAAGCAGCACAATGACGAGTGCAAGCAGTTGCTGAGCCTCATGGGCATCCCGTACCTCGACGCCCCCAGCGAGGCCGAGGCCAGCTGTGCCGCCCTGGTGAAGGCTGGCAAAGTCTACGCTGCGGCCACCGAGGACATGGACTGCCTGACCTTCGGCAGCCCCGTGCTCATGCGGCACCTGACTGCCAGCGAGGCCAAGAAGCTGCCCATCCAGGAATTCCACCTGAGCCGGGTCCTGCAGGAGTTGGGCCTAAACCAGGAGCAGTTTGTGGATCTGTGCATCCTGCTGGGCAGTGACTACTGTGAGAGCATCCGGGGCATCGGGCCCAAGCGGGCCGTAGACCTCATCCAGAAACACAAGAGCATTGAGGAGATCGTGCGCCGGCTTGACCCCAGCAAGTACCCTGTGCCCGAAAACTGGCTCCACAAACAAGCCCACCAGCTCTTCCTGGAGCCCGAAGTGCTGGACCCAGAGTCTGTAGAGCTGAAGTGGAGCGAGCCCAACGAAGAAGAGCTGGTCAAGTTCATGTGTGGCGAAAAGCAGTTCTCCGAGGAGCGAATCCGCAATGGGGTCAAGAGGCTGAGCAAGAGCCGCCAGGGCAGCACCCAAGGCCGCCTGGATGACTTCTTCAAGGTGACAGGCTCCCTCTCTTCGGCGAAGCGCAAGGAGCCAGAACCCAAGGGATCCGCCAAGAAGAAGGCAAAGACTGGGGCCACGGGGAAGTTCAAAAGGGGCAAATAAGAGATGGATTTATACCCATTATACCTCCTGGCTCCCCAAATAGCTGCCTTGTCATTACTCCTAGGAGCTAGAGCCACCTCCATTTGGTGGGGAGGGACCTTGTGGCTTCTCTGGCGCGTTCTTTCTCAGTAGCTTCCTCTTTTTGACTTGACCACAGGCAGGAAGGCTACTGGTTGCTTTGTGTGCTTTGTTTGTTCAGCAAAGTGTGTCAGGCACAAACCACTGCTGGCCCCTTACTGGACCGTGACATCCATTGTGATGTGAAAGTGATGGGGACACGTTTTTTTATGAAAGGAGAGGGAGATGGGTGGGCAGGCAAGGCTGTAGAGAAATTATTTCCTCGCTGATCAACTAGAGGCTGATGGGAGGTGATATCGGAACCAGACTGCTACTCCCCGACTTCAGCCTTGATCTCATCCAAACAATAGCCACCAGAGACCAAGGCTTCACCGATTGCGGAAAGAGTTCCTGAGAAAGAAGACGAACAGACCAGGGGTCCTGGCGTTGGTAGCAAGGGTTGGGTTGCTGGTAGCAGATCTTCAGAATGGGCCGGAACTTGAACCTGTTTGTCAATTGAGCCTTAGAGCAATAAGGAGTTGATCTGAGGCAATAAACTAATTTAGACTTTGGAATAAAACACTGGTTTCTGTGTTTTTTATTTCAAAGGTACGAAGAGGGGTGGAGGTCAGTAATAATAATCAAGAGGTCACATTCTTTTAGAATGTTTAAAACACTTGAAATGTAATGTCCTTTTTTTTCTTTTGACCCCAGGGTAACTTCCCGGACTTGTATCCCATTAACAGGTGGTTTGGCCACAAGATGGCGCCATGTCCCATGGAATGGCCACGGCAGATAATGGTGGTAGTTCAGCCATTTGGAGGAGACCTGTTATATCTGGACTTTGAGGGTGGGGTTTTAATAAAAATTTCCAGTATCTGTAAGATGAAGGAAGTGATTTGGAAAAGCCCCATGGTTTGGTTCTAGCCCAGCAACCTTAAGCACAATGGATTGAAACACTGCCATCATCGCAATTGTACTTTGAGCCCAGGGTTGCAGCCAAGTATCCCTCCTTGAGGGTCTCCCTCATTAGCTCCCCCTCTACCAGCATCGTGCCCTACTTTGAGAGCGGTCCCTCCTGATAACATGTTCAAGTCACTGAATGGGACAACCCATTTTTCAAGTGACATCTATGGAGCTTCTTGAAGCAGGGATGAAATACAGTCTCAGAAATGGAAGGCTTGCCGCCACGAACAGCTTAGACGTTGCTACAGAGAAATGGACCTTTCCGAGGCCAGCACCCTGTTCACGGCTCTGTCACCAGTAGTTGGTGAGTGAAACTGACTTCCCCAGTTTAAAATAGGGCTTCACTGGTTCAGGCACAGCTGACTCCAGGAAATTGGCGTGGGCCCTAATTTGTAAAGTATCAGAACAGTAACCGGGGTGGAAGAATGGTGGGTTGAGAGTCTGGGACAGAAGACTCAACTGGTGTAGTGAGCTGGTTCCGGAGTCTCATGAGAGGTTGGGTTAGTGCCAGGACTGGAGAGTGACATTTAAAACTGCTTGATTGGCCACCTTTAGCTGGGCATGTTTCTGCCTACCTACCTGCCAACCAGGACGTTTAGCCGGTATATAATACACATCCTGCCCTTATTCTTTAGGCAGGAGGGGATGCTTCTCGCAGGGTGGCCCAATGTTGCTCAATTGGCCTTGACTGAACCAGGAAGCATCAGTTGGAAGCCCTGGTTTGAGCCCCGCCACATTAACTTAGGTTTTCTAATTTGAGTGATTTGATTGAGCCGGCAGTAGTGGTCTGAGGCAGCGTGGTGAGACTTCAGATAGTTTTGCTCAGTTCAATAGCTCTGGTCAGGGCTTGAACCCTGTGGGAGGCCAAGTATGTAGTATGGTTTGTGTCCTCAGCTGTTTAACTGTCTCCGCGGGCACCTTGCAGGGAAAATGAATTCGGCCTATGCAATTTTCATTTAGAGCTTTTACTAGTGACATGTACGGGGGCCCTGGTGATGCTCTGGTTAAGCACTCGGCCTGCTAATCAGAAAGTTGGTCGTGGGTAGAAATTAGCCGCTCCGTGGGAGGAAGATGGAAACAACCTGTTTGTGTGAAGGTTCATCTCAAAACCCTGTGGAGCATCTTTCCTGTCCTATACCCTTGGCTATGAGTTGGAATCGACTCGAGGCAGGGAGTCCTTGTTGAATATTGACACGGACCCCAGTGGTTAAGCACTCTTCTAGGCTTGAATCCACCCAGTGGTTGCCTAGGAAATCCTGTAGGCACTGCCCTGTCACAGGGTTGCTACAAGTTGAAAATGGACTCGATGGCAGCCAGCGATCTTGGTAGGGTTGCCATGCTTTGGAATTCAGCCCGTACGTGAGCTGCGCTGGTCTTGTTCAAAGAGAGTTCTTCTTGGAAGTTTACAAAGGCATCGCTTTGCAGCCCAGCACAAGCACTGTGCCTGTAGTGGGAGATCTAGTAGCCAAATAGGACCCTAGTGGAGAGTAGGGCAAACGAGGAAGATTCAAGATTGCAAACAAGGGCAGTGTCAAGGACACCTGGAAGTGCGGCCCCAGCAGTCTCCTGTGGGTAGGATGCACAGGAAGGGCTCCCACCCTCCCCTCCCCGCACCCCTTGCCTAAAGGTTTTCCAGAGGGCCTTGACTGTCTATCTTTGAAACCAGGGGCTTATGGGAGTTAGGAAAACTCTCCTCTTGCAGAGACTGCTCAGAACAAACCAAGTCCCATGGAAGTGAGCAGTGGCAGGGGGCTCTGGGGAACACTGTACACAGGCAGAGGTGGACAAACAGGCATCGCTTTTATCTGGTAAAAATCAGCTTTATTTGTCAGCTACGCTTCTTCCGAATGTGTTAACAAATAAGGCATACACAAAAAGGATACTGAAGACAGACTGAATCAAAATGCCTCTGTCCAGGTTGGGGCCTGGGGCGGGTGTCACAGGTAAAGAGAAGGGGGCGGAAAAGGGGGCTCAGAGGTTCTGCCCTGTGGCTGGAGACCCCCTTTCCTGGTTACTTTCTCATTAGCCAGGGATTGCAAAGAGCTGGGCCATGTTAGTACAGTAGCTTCCGGGGTTTTCTGTCACTGGGGTGTCCCTGGGTGGGGTGCCCTAAGGGAGCACTGGCAGAGGCTGGGAGAAGGCCACGGTGGTTGAAGGACTCAGGACTGTCCCGGCTCAGGACACCTTCGCTGGGGTGTCCTCAGATGGCGGCTGCTGGTAGCCAGACCCATGTCTCAAGTGGCAGTTAACCAGGGGTGGGAAGGGTCAGGTCCCCACCTGATTCTAGGACGAGGAGACCCAGGAAAGGATAAGTCCATAATCCTGCTTGTCCCCAGGGTGCCTCTGACCCTCCCCCAAAGGGCTCTCCCCTTTTCTGATTGTCTGTCGGCCCCACCTCCCGTCATGTAATGTGAATGTTTCTAAAAGCCCAAACCCCACTGCCATTGAGCCAATTCCGACTCGCTGGCTTTGCTTCTCACTTCCCATTTGAAGTGCTTTCCCAGGGTCTGAGGGCCCATGAGTCACAGTGATGCTGTTGGACAGGCAAAGGAAGGACTCCATCACTTGGAGTCTAAGGCCTAGGGGTGGAGCCGGCTGGTGCTAAAGGCCTGGCAGTAGGGAGAGGGAGACTCCGGCCACAGACCGGTGTTCACTCAAGAATGATTACACTAACTTCCCGCCTGGTCCCCAGCAGAATGAAACAAGCCGGACGGACAGTGAGACAGACGCCTGATTCTAGCAATGGTGGTCATAAATGCTTCCTTTGGGTCACAAACAGCCTTCCTGCTTCCAGGTCCAAACCACACACTAACCTTTAGGTCTGAGCTGTCTTGCTTACAGCAGCAGTTCTCAACCTATGGGTTGTGACCCCTTTGGGGATTGAACAACCCTTTCACAGGGGTCACCTGATTCATAACAGTGGCAAAATTACAGTTATGAAGTAGTAACGAAAATAATTTTATGGTTGGGGGGGGTCACCACAACATGAGAAACTGTACGTAAGGGTCGCGGCATTAGGAAGGTTTAGAACCATTGGCTTGCAGCGTTTAGGACTGCCACTTGGATCCGTCTTCGCACCTGGGACGTTAGCATCTCTACTCGCTCACCTGTGCTCACTGGCTGCTATGGTTTCTAGAGAACAGAAGGGCATGTTTCCTCAGGTGCTTGCTGGCTTGTGGTGCAAGGATCAGACTCCCAGCCCCGGGGGTGTTCAGATCCTGGCTCAGTACTTTGAGTTATGCTTGAGGGATTTTTCTTCCAGCTGTTTTGGCAGGAGTAAGGGTCAAGAGTACCCACTGTACCCTGGAGAGAGCCAAGGCCAAACATCCATGGTTCCATGATCCTCAGAGCCTGGTTCAACAGGGCCGAGGGGTGGGAACTGGAATGGCATTTTCTCAGGAGCCCAAGGCACGCGCTCTATGGACTTAGGCTCCACCCAGCTTGGGCAAGAAGCGGAGCCCTAGGCCTGGCACTCTCGATGCTCACACGTCTTTTCAAACCAGGTTCAGGAGGTTTGGCTGCTGTGCCCCTCAGCTTGCCAAGCTGGGGATTTGTGGGCACTGTGGGGCGGGCCAGCGAGATGAGCCTGCCCTTTATGGTGGGGTTGCAGAGCTAAGTCCCTCCCTGGCGCCTCTGGGTTCAGTAGGCTGTCCCCTGGCTCCCTCTTGGTTGTTCACTAACCACCTGCCAAACTGGAACAAGGGAAACACTCTCATCGTCCCGCTATCAGCCACTTCACTTGGGGGTGGGGTGAGGGGGTTGGGGTGTTCAGATGCCCCCCTCTCCTTCTTTGGATCTTAAACCTGTGCCTGGAAGATAAGGGGAGGGTATGGGCAGAGCCTCTACTCCCCCCTCCCTCCCCACAATGAGGATGGTAGTGGCATTGTCCCTCGAGCTCTCCTCAGGTTTAGTGCCAAAGTCTCCTCTTCCAGGCGTGGCGGGGCCATTACTGGTGTAGGTAGGCATCTAGCCAGAGCTGCCCCGACTCCTTCAGTGAGCTGTGGAGGCAAGATTCCCGTCAGGCGATCAGGGGCCGGCCTGTCAGTCAGTGGTGTGGGTTCTTGGAGGAGTGCAGAGGCTGTTATCAAGCCCCGCCCCCACCCCACCTGCCAAAGGGTGGCTTGCTCCTCCTCACTCTGGGAAGAAGGCCAGGCCGGGCAGCGCCAAGCAGGGCTTCACTGGAAGCATTGGCCTGACTCGGCCACAAGTCCAGCTGAGCGCACACCTGGGCCACAGTGACCTCCCTTCCTGAGGTCGGGGATGCCTGCCTGTGGTGTCACAGCACACACACACACCATCCGTCCCGCCACCCCCATCCCCCGCCAACGGTACTCACTACACAATGTCAGCGAAGGCCGAGAGCAGGGGCTTGGACTGGTACTTGATGCCATGCTTGGTGCACAGCGACCGCACTAGGGGCGCCACTTTGTGGTAATTGTGTCGTGGCATGGTGGGGAAAAGGCTGCAGGAAGAACAGGAGACTCGGTGGTTCTGGCCCTCCTTACCCATGCGCCGCCCCCCCCCCGCCCCCGCCCGCACCCCCACTCACTGGTGCTCAATCTGGAAGTTGAGGTGCCCGCTGAACCAGTCGTTGAAGAAGGACTTGTGGACGTTGCATGTTGCCTGCAGCTGAAGGAGGAGGCCCAGTAAGCACCTGTCTCTGGTTATCAGGGGCAGGGCAGCCGGGGCACAGAGGGCTGTCCCTGCCCCTCGGTCCCCTCGTGCGACCGTAGGACAGCAGCTACAAGCCAATGGAGCCACACTGTGTGTGGACATGGCGCTTGTTACTTCCAGCCTGTAGCCACCCTCTGCCTTACCTGGGTGGATAACCAGTCCTTGTTCTGGTCGTACTCAATGTGCATGGGGATGTGGTTCATCTGCGTCACCCACACAAACCAGTGGCTCTCCAGAAACCTGGTGGACACGGCACAGACAGAAACGGTGTAGGCGCGCAACCGTTACTGTCCACAGGGACCCAATGCGATTTGGACATTGTGTGAACACCTGTGCTCTCTGTGGGGACTCCTGGGCGCTCTTGCCTGGGCAGCTCGTTACTGAAGCCTCAGGAGTGTCCGGCTGAGGGCCCAGACAGCTGCTGCTCCAGAGGGCCTGGGAAGTGCTCAGCCAGGGCCCACCTGGCTGTCATACCTTCTCTGCTGAGCCAGCTGTGCGGAAGGCCAGCTCAGCTCGCCTGTAAGAACCGGCGTGAGCCAGCTGAGAGGGCTGAAGGCAGCTGAGTCAGGATCGGAGTGCCCAGGGCATAGATTTTCTACTGGCACCCCACAGGACTCGCCTCACATAACTGTTCTGGTCTATTGCCTGCCTTGGCCAACACCTGAGCCTTCTCTGTTGCTCCTGCCCTGCCCTACCCTGCCCCGCCCCACCCCACCCCAGACCCACCTGTCTCCTTCCACTGGACTGGCTTGTCCCCATTCCCTAGCAAATCCTACCTGACCAGGAGAAAGAGGCCCAGGAAGCCCTTCAGTCCCACCAGCGGCACATAGGCGAGGGCCATACGGGCATAGAAGCTGAGCATCCAGACCAGATCCTGTGGGATGGAGGAAACAGACATGGTCACCACCACCCTCCCGCACCCGAACCCTTGGCCATCCTCATCTTCTCACAGTTGGGGTGCCACTGTGGCCCTCTCCTCAGCCCCAGGGTCACCAGCCCCTCCCTCCTTGCTTGTGGCTTTCAGAGATGCCCAGGCCTGGGGAGTCTCCCTGCACCCAGCTCCTCTCTGACCCTCTAGCACTGGGAGGTCCCTCAGGAGGACACTGAGGGAGGGAAACCCAGACGGCCAGTCAGCTTGCCTGCTGGGCCCAAGTCATGACCGGCGCTGTGAGTCCTAAGCTATTGGTGTTGGCTCTCTGTGGTTAAGTCAGCCCCAGGCCCTGGATAGTGCCCTCTCACCTCCCTTGGAGCTGAAAGCCAGAGGGCCTCTCGTGATGTGGATACTCACCACCCATTTCTTCCGCTGGACAGCAAAATAGAAAATGTACCACTGGAAGTAGAATATCACCAAGGCCGGGGGCCCAACTGAGGAGAAACAAGGGATCCAGGAGTGTGAGCGGTCTGAGGGCAGGGCCGGCCCCCACTCCCCCCCTGCCTGCCCCAGCCTGCCTCTGCCTATGGGAACAGGCACTGAAGGTGGGGCTAGGCCAGCCAGCTGGAGCAGAGGGTCAACCCCTCACTTGGCAGCAGGGTGGGACTCTGTGAGGCCACAGCCGAATGCAGCACGGTGAGGGCGTGGAAGAGGCCCTTGGCGCACAGAACCTGCCCCCACCCAGACCTTTAGAGGTACCTCAACACAGCCCTGACCCTGGCCGACTCCTTGTCACAGTCGCCTGTGGTCCAGCCTGCCGAGGGTTCTGGGCTGCTGCATCCACAGGGTGGCAGCAAAGTGGAGTGGAGGGCAGACTGCTCGCAGGCCCACAGCCCACTTCTTGGGACTTAGGGGTGGGCTTGCCCCACCTCACCTGGCAGCCCTGGAGGGCAGGAGTGGAGGGACTTCTTTGGGAAGACCCCACAAGGACAGAACTGGATGCTACCCATCCTACCCCAACTTGCTCTTCCCAAGGCTCTGTTTCACCCACCACCACCACCCCATCCCTCCACTGGGCCGTTCGGCTACATTCACCAACCAAAGTGGGACCAGTGGACTCCCTCCTCTCCTTCCTTTGCAAGGGGCCCTAGTTGTTAAAGTGCAGTTGTGGGGAACAGAAGGATTCCTCTTAAGCTGTCTCCCAATAATATGTACCAGACTTAGCTGCTTGAATATGACTGTACACTAGGCGGTCAGCGAAAGTAGGTCAGAAGTTATTCTCCTTAACATGAGCCATCTAGAGCAGCCAGACTGACCCACCCTAAGTAGGGCCCAGTCCTTTCTGTTATTGTTCCCTTGAAGCAGTACCCAAAGGCAAGCCCAGGACCACTCTAGGATGACTAAGCTTAGGCTACCATCTTGCCACACATGCCCCCCTATTCCCTCCTCTTACTATTGCACGTTCACCCCTAGGTCATCCCCCTCCTATTGCTTGTATTGCCTGTTTTACAACCCCTCTCTATGACGTAGGTTGTTATCTGCTATCAGGGGGCTTGCATGCCTCCCAGGATAGTAATTGCCTGCTTTATTGTATGAGACACCAGAATGATCAAACCTGTTCAAGGATGAATTGTACTGCCCTTCTCTGTGACACATAATGCTGTGATGTATCCCCCTAAAGTAATATGATGCGGGGTTAGCAATAAAGAAGGAGGCTCGCTGGGTCTCGGGAGGGCGGTGGACGAGAGGGCTGCTCCCATGAGGGCAGTGGATGAGAGGGCTGCTCCCATGAGGGCTGTGGACGAGAGGGCTGCTCCCATGAGGGCTGTGGACGAGAGGGCTGCTCCCGCGAGGGAGGCGGCTCCTGCTCTGGCAGCCGGGTTCCCCCCACGAGGACCACCAAGCGGGGCGGAGATGAGCAATGCTACCATGTAATATGTCTGACTGTATTATTGTATTATCTCTCATGCTCTCGATGACTTTAATATAACGCTTATATGTATCAACCGTACAATTGTGCATTACTGAACCCAGAAGTAGTATTACCGAACCTGTGGGTAGTATTAGAAGCAGCGGGTGGGGGCTGGCCCCCCACCCCCCCACTGCGTCATTTTAATTTAATGCTACAGGCAGTGGTTTTCAACCTTCCTAATGCCGTGACCCTTTCATATGGTTCCTCATGTTGTGACCCCACAACCATAAAATTATTTTCATTGTGACTTCATCACTGTAATTTTGCTACTGCTATGAATCAGGTGACCCCTGTGAAAGGGTCGAGACCCACAGGTTGAGAACCACTGTTAAAGGGGTTTGTGACTCAGGTTTCGGCATTAGGGAACAAGCTTTAAATGCAGGGAGCACCGCGTTTTCAGAAAGCTCTTCGGACGACTCCTCACCTGCTGTTCTGTTCCCTGGTCGGATCCAAGGAGCCCTGGTGGCACAGTGGCCTAAGCACTGCCAGTTGTGGCTTCAACCCCTCAAGGAAGGGAGAGAGCTGAGGCTGTCCACTCCCAGAAGCCCTCAGGAGCAGTTCTACTCTGTCCTTCAGGGTCGCCAAGGATCAGGATTGACTTAAGGGGAGTGTTTCCTTGTTTGGGGTAGGGTCCAAGCCCCTTGTGAGGAGAGCCCACCTCCTCCTCCACCACTACCACCTCCTGGTGGCACTGTGGGTTAGGTGTTGGACTACTAACAGCAAGGTCTGTGGTTCAAACCCACCCGCTGCTTCCCCGAAGAGGCAGTCTGTTCTCTTAAAGATCGACACTCTCAGAAACCGGGAGTCAGAATGGACATGGCTTCAACCCTCCCACAGCTGTCTGTTCCTTTGCTGCTCTGGGGGTTGGACAGGGCTTCACCTTTGCCCAGGGCCCTTTGCACAGACAGAAGGTTTAATCAGGAAGGCCCCACCGGATCCCTCAGCATCTCTGTGGGATTATAGGAACTAGTTTCTGCTGAACACAGACCTTGAGCCAGACATTAGCCCAACCGGTGACTTTGTTCAGGTGTGAGGTAGGGAGTTACCTGGGGTGCAGGTGGGCTACTTCCTCCAGTCCCCTTACTTAAATACAGGATTCCTCTCAGAGCCCTTCATTAACTCCTGCCCCCAGCCCAGGGCAGTTCCTTTGTACCAGAGGACACTCACTCAGGCAGAAGTATTTGTGTTGGTGGTTGTACGGCATGTACTTTTTCTTCTGTTTCCCAAGCTGCAAAGAAAAGCAAACAAAGCACCAATCATCACCTTACCGCTACCACCTCCTCCACACCCACCATCACTACTTCAGCCACCACCATCTCCTCCTCTATCACCACCTCCATCCATCCCCATCTACCTCTTCAACCACCACCCCCACTTCCTCCATATCTACCTCCCCACCCCACACCCCACCTCCGTGGCCTTGGCCTTCTCCTGCTGTCGGCTTGCAGGCACTATTAGCAGACCCCAGCCTCCCTTCCAGCATGTGGGCCACACAGCCCTGGGTATGGCCTGTGTGAGGGCATCTGACCGTGCATCAGCGATGGCTCAGGCCAGCATGAGGGAAGGCAACAGTCTCCAGGTTCCTTACGTTCCTCCAGAGAAGCCTCTCATGAGATGTCCAAGCCCTACCTCCCTTTTCCCTTCCGTTAGGGGACTGAATGGTGTCCACTAAAAAGTGTATGTCAACTTGCCTAGACCAGGATTCCCAGTGTTTTGTGATTAGCCCTCATTTGGTGGGGGTCTGATATAATTGTCCTGTATGCTGTACATCCTCAAAAGGTAGTCCTGGTAGTACAGTCGGGTAAGCATCAGGGCTGCCAACGGCAAGGTCGGTGGTTCAAACCCACCCATGGCTCTGCAGGAAAATGATGAGGCTGGCTACCCCCTAAAGATGTACAACCTTGGACATCCTATCGAAGGTTGCTATGAGTTCGGGGGCATTGGGTGAAAATCCTAATTTCTAATCTAATCTCCGAATTCAGTTGTATATTGAATGAATCTCTTTTGAGATACAAACACCAAACAAGTGAGCAGAGAAGCAGAGGGGCTTCCTACCACAAAGAAAGAAGAACAGAGTAGAGTGCACCCTTGGGACCCAGGGTCAGAACCTCCTAAAACCAGTGGAAGATTAAAGACAAGGACCTTCCGCAGACACAAAACCATGGATGCCCCAGGTCAGCACCGGCAGCGTGCCCAGTGGCTAAGTTGTGCTGGGAAGGACTGAGCCAAGCCCCAGGAAGCCCAACTGGGCTTTGGCTGGCAGGCATGCCTTCTAGCCTCAGCCGTGGATACAGTCACAGCTGGCACCCACATGCACAAACAAACACATGCAGGGCACACGCGTGCCATCCAGTCACAGCCGTCGTCTGGGACCCAGTCTCTGTTTCTGGTGTCTGCAGAGAGGCACATCCTGGAAACCCTTGTACCCAGGGGGCAAGAAGGGCCGGCGTGTAGCCTCTTCTCTTCCCTACAGCGTCCCCACCTTTTTCCTAACCCTCAACCGCGATGGCGGAAATGCTACCACAAGCCTGCTGCAGTGGCCAAGCCATTCATCGGCATAGCTCCTCTGACACAGCCACCGATGCCAGGCCAAGGACCCTTGGCATCAGGTGGTTCTATTATTCAATAACGACTTGCTGATCTTACTGGACTATGGAATACGGGAGAGTGCTTACTGCCTCCCAGGAGTTTTAAACAGCACAGACCCCAGCTGGTCTCATCCACACTGGCAGTAATGCAAAACATCTCTGGCGAAGAGGGTAGAGCTGCCTGGCTTCCCCACACCCTTACCGCCCAGGCCTCCACTCACCTCCACGGAGAGGATCTTCCCCAGGGTGAAGAAGAAGGGGTGCATGTTGAGGTCTGGGTCTTTGCGGAAGCAGTTGGGCTTGGCGTGGTGCTGAAAGTGCATGTGGTTCCACCAGCTGGCAGGGGCTCCCTACAGCAAAGCAGGGTATGAGAACCGGGATCCCCCTTCCCTGAAGCAGCCATCCCTCCAGTGGGGTTTCAGAGAGCCCCTCCTCCTGCCATTGACCTTCAGGTGGCCAATCACGAAATGGTGGATCAGGTGGTTCCATTTTGAGGTGCTGAAGACAGAGAGATGGCCAAAGTCATGCTGCAGCCAGCCAGCCTGGGCCTAGAAGGGAGAGAGAGCGGAGCTGAGAACAGTCCACCAGCCCAGTGCCCCGCCCACTGACCTCCTCCCAGCCTGTGATGCCCTACTCCCACCATTACGGGAAGCACTCAGGAAACCTGGGTCCTAATTATGACTTTGCTACCAACTCATTGAGGAGTTGGGGCTAGGTACTATGCTTTTCCCATTTCTCAAACACCACAGCCTGCGGTGAACTGAACATTCAGAATGTACAAGAGGACAGAAAGGGGAGCTGATATCAAAGAGTCCAAAAAAAAAAAAGAAAATGTTTTGAAACTGATGGTGGTAGCAATTGTACAATTATGCTTGACCTAATTGAGTTATGGACTGTTATATATCTGTAAGAGCTCCCAATAAAATGATTAGTAATAATAAAAATAAACGAACAGAGAGTGACAAACACAGAAGCACAAAAGGCTAGGCAAATGGCTTCAGCCAGCGTAGGATTAGGGCCCAACCATTTTTGGCGTAGTGGCTATGAGTTGAGTTGCTAACCTCAAGGTTAGCAGTTCGAAACCACCAGCAGCTCCACAGGAGAAAAACAAGACTTTCTACTCCTATAAAGTTATAGTCTTGGAAACCCAGAGGGGAAGTTCTACCCTGTCCTAAGGGGCCACTGTGAGTTAGCACTGACTCTATGGCAGGGAGTGAGTCTATTCTCAGTCTGCTGGGCAATGTTGATAGTAGGGAGGAAGCAAAGCTTTTCTAAGAACCCACAATCTGGGTTCCTGGCACACTTCACAATTCTCCTAATTGGTCCCAGACAATTCTGACTCATGGTGACCCTTTAGGACAGGGTAGCACTAACTACCCCATTGGGTTTTCTGAGACTATGACTCTATAGAAATAGAATCCTCATGTTTCTCCCACACAGAGGCTGGTGGTTTCAAACCGCTGACCTTGCAGATCACAGCCTAATATGTAACCACTACACCACCTGGCACACAGGCTGCGGTAGAACCTGAACACAAGGCTACAGAGGAGACAGCGACCTTGCAAAGAGTGGCCGGAGGGGCAGTGCAAGAAACCGAGATGTGCATGTGGTTCATGCGCCTCGAACAGCTGCAGACAACACAAGGCACATTCTCTTGCGGTACCTGCCCTCCAGCCAACCTTCAGCACTTCTCAGTCCAGAGGGCACGGCACCCTGGCCTTCTGAGGGGTACAGAGGGCATGCCCCCAGGGGTGCTAAGCTTGGCGTTGCACATGACAAGTCAGGGACTCTCACCTGCACTGCGCTGAGCAGCACTGCACTGAGGAGGAAGGGTACCAAGGACATCCCAAAGGACCACAGGACGAGCCAGGCCATGACATCCATCAGCAGGATGTGCAGCAGGTACAGCAGGAAGAAACCAAGGTTAGGCTTCATGAGCCCCATTTGCTCCACCGAGGCCCGGAGCTCCCGGAACTCATCCACCAGTTCTTTCTGTAAAGGCGGAAGGGAGCAATTCATTGTTGGTCCCAGCTGTAGGCAGAGGGCTCAAGGGCCGCCCAACCCTACAAATCTCTAGGGAAGTCCACAGCGCTAGTAAAGACACCAAAATATTGCACCAGGATGTCAGGAGGCGATGGGGGATCGTGCCCAAGAACCCGTGATCTATGGAGTCAAGCTGACCTAATTATAGGCCTTACTCTGCCACTTCTGATGGGACCTGTGGCCAAGTCACTTGACCTGAGCCTCAGGCGCCTCATCGGGGTGAGCTGTGAGGGTTTCTTGAGGCTCTGCCTGGCACAGAATATGTGCTCCATGGGGGATGAGGGTGGCCTTGGGAAGACCAGAGTTCCAAAGCCCTGCTCCCTTGGGCCTGTGTCCCATGACCATGAAGGAAAAGCAGGGGTTCAAGACTCCCAGGGACCCCATGTAGATCATCCTTCTCTTCCCTGTCCCACAACCACCATAGGGTCTTCAAAGGGGGAACAGGATCTCACATTTTTAGTGGGCTCAAAGCTGGGCTGCTCCGGGGACAGCTCTCCAATCAGCAGCGAGTTCATATACTTTCTCACAAGGGCCTTGTCGATGTGGAAGGCTGTGAAGGGGTCCTGAAAGGGGGAGGGAGTGGAGAGATGAGGAAGTAACAGCCCCCTCCCCCCTGGGACTCCTGAAGGCTCACACCAGAGGCCATCCTCCTCCCCCAGTACCCCACCCACTTGCCTGTCAGGATGCTGTGCTACAGGTAAAACAGAGGTCCCCTCCCTCCAGGCACCTGCCCTTTCCCAGGCACCCACAACTCAAGATGTGCTGCGGCTAGCTGGTCCCCTGGGTGTGCCTAGAGACAGCTTTTGCCTCCAATTGGTGGTAGAGTTGGGCTGCTAACCGAAACGACCAGTCAGCTCCGTGGGAGAAAGACGAGGTTTTCTACTCCCAGAAAGTTACCGCCTCAGAAACTCACAGGGGCGGTTCTGCCCTCTCCTCCAGGGTCCCCATGAGTCAGTAATAAACAGCGCGTTCAGTCTCCGCGTAGAAGAGAACCAGAAGGGTTGGGTGGTGCGATGAGATTTGCCCTCCCTGGGGGGCTTTTAAACCAAGCCCCTTCCCTCTCAGTGCAATTTATTGTTCTCCAGAAAACGGGAAGGAGTCTCGATTTACCCATCCCCCGCCCCCTACAGGTGGAGGCCTGTAGCTTTCCCCCCTCCCATCCCCCATCCCCCACCTCCCGTTCTCTGGATCACCCCTGCCCTCAACTCTCTCACAGCCATCGAGTTGATTGGGAATTGCCCCCGTGGGTTTCCAAGGCTGATTTTGGTTATGGGAGGTGTGTGTGGGAGGGGGGTGGAGGGAGGTGGTCTTCAGTGTCCTGAGGTCCTATCAGAGAAGCGGCGTGCGGGGCGGGCGCTGGGCGGAGCTGGCGGCCGGTGGCACCACACATCCGGACCAATCGGCGTCACGCAGTGGCCATTCCGGACCCCAAATCACAACGCGGGAAGTCCGGCGCCTGCGCCGTGCGTCCCCCACCATCTGGCTCCCAGGAGGTTACTCGGGGTCACTAGGGCTCGCTCGGGCCACTCGTGTCCGGCAGGCGATGTCCTAGGGGCGGGATGGGTCCTTGCCTACAGCATCTAAGCGCCTCGGTGGCAGAACCCTGGAGCCAGAGATCTCCTGCATCGCTAGTGTGGCAGATGGGGACAGTGGAAGAGTCACATGGCTGGGAGCAGAATGGGAAGGGGCTGCCCGGAAAGGGGAATGGCTGAAGTGGGGGAATGCGGCGAAACGAAGGCCCCAACTTTCAGGGCCCTTAGGGTGACTCCTGGTACTACCCCATCAGGGAGGCAGGCGTAGGCTTAGCTCCGAGGGTGCCAATCTTAGGAGAAGCCGTTGGACCCGGACTGGGCGTGCGCAGACTCCGCCGAGGGGGGTCCAAGAGAGGGGGGACGCGATCCTCCTTCAGGGCCTACTGCCCCGGGGCTCGAACAACTGTGCACTGCGGTGAGTGGCTGGAAACCCCGCCGGCCCGCGGCTCGGTAACCCCCCGGGCAGGAGTTGAGGACGCCCCCAAGAGTCGTTGTCTGGCGACGAATCTCCGGCCCCTTGCACGCCGTTCTTTGGGCCTGCAGCCGCCGGTCCTTTCTCCCGGGTGTTGTCCCTTCCTCTTTTTACCCCAACCCTAGGAGGGATGGATCTCCTCTCCTGTTCTCCGCCCGCTCCGGTCCCAGAGTGGAGGCCCGCGCGCTTCCCGAGCGGAAGCCAGACTCCCTCGGCCATTGCCCTCTCCTTCCCCGGCGCCCAGCACCCTCGCCCTCCTCCCTGAGACCGCAGGCTCCCAGCCTCCGGCGGAATGCGCGCCCGGGCAGGACCGCCCTTTGTTTGGGCTCACCCGGAGCAGGCCGCCTGCGCCAGCCCCCCGCGCGCCGGTCGGCCGAGCCGGTCTCCAGCCCTGGCATCCCGGCCGTCTGCAACACGCTCAGAACCCAGGGGCAACGCGTCCCCCGGGGCTGCCTCACCCCCCACCCCGGCGCCAAACGTCGCGTCTCGGGCACCATCCCTGGCGCGCTCACCGTGGCATCCTGCCCCGCGTAGTGGCTGATGACCCGGGAGCCCCCCGGGTGCCGGCGGACGAACTCGCTGATGTTGTACACTTTGCGATCGATCACCAGCCACCGCTCCTTCTCGCGCCCCGATCGCTGCGCCACCTCGTCCCAAGTGAAGTAGCGCTGGCCCGACCCCACCACCGGGGGCTCGGCGGCCTTCGGGTCCGGGGCCATCTCGCTCGGGCACTGCGGCGCGCTAGGCCAGCAGGGGCTGTCAGGGGCGCGCTCCGGGCACGGGCTCGCGTGCTGGGAGAGCCGCTCCGCGGGCGCGCACCCGGAGCCCACCGGCCGCGCGCCGGGTTTTCAGCACCCGAGACGCGGACTGCGAAACCTTGCAGCGCACGCTCCCATTGGCTGGGCCACGTGGCGCGGGGAACCAGTCCCCGCCTTCCCTCCGGACCCTGAGTTGGTGGTGCAGACTGACGGTCGCTGCCTGGGGCTCCGAGAGGCCCAGGACACAGGGCAGGCATGCGCCCGCTCGCCAGCCCCTGGGAGGCCCCTTTGTTTCCACATCCCCACTTACCACCGGCGGGGTGTCGCCGTGCACCCTCCCAGACGGGCCCCCGCGAGCCTACTAACGGTTCCTGGGGAGGCCCTGGTGCCTAGAGGAGGCTCAGGGTTCTTAGGTTGGGACAGAGCTTTCCGGAAGGGTGCGCGGGGTCCCCAAGCTACACCATCCCCAGGACCGAGACCACCCTGGTGGAGGGGGCGGGGCGGGCACCAGCCGGAAGACCTGCACGCAGAAGGCTCTCAATGTTGGCCAAACAGGCCTGCTTACTCGCCACGGAGTTCCACTGTCCTGTGGAGCCTGGAGAGACTGCATCAGCCCCACTGGGAACCGCAATTAAGCTTGTGAAGCATATAATTATGTTTGACTGGGGTCTTGTGGAAGGGGGGGGCATTGTTACTGAATTTATTTACTCGGTAATAACATTAAAATGCCTCACCCACTTTATAACCGCTTGCCTTTTTATTTTTTAAGAATCATCTGGGGTCTGATTTCCAAAAGGCCTTGGGTCTCCAAGCCCAGGCCTCTCCAGTCGATCCTGGGAACCTTGTTGGTGTTCAGCCAAGCTGAGGGTTTTCAGGCCAGTGGCCTTTGCGGAAACAGATTGCCAAGCCTGTTTTTTTGAGGGACCTGTGGATGGGTTCAAACCACCAATGTTTGGCCCGATAGAGGATCGCTTAACCACTTGCCTCACCTGTGAACCTGGAGGCCTCTTGGAGTCTTAGGAGACTTAGCTTGGGCAAGAAGAATGAGACCTCTCAGACAGGACTGTGGAGGAGTTGGTGTTGCCCCCTACATGCAAGAGCTGAAGACACCCTGGTTTAGGAGCTGTTTTGTTTTTCAATAAACGCGAAACACGGGTGTGCTGCGCACTTCACTAAGGGTTTCACGAATATTATTTCAGCCCCTACAATCCTATGAGCTAGAACTATTAGCCTTTACAAATGGAGAAACTGAACCAAGAAGTATCTGGACACAAAGCTAGTGAATGGTGTGGCAAGGTTTGTGCCTGGCCTGTCTTGTGGACCCGTGCCTCTACTGTCAGCCTTTTCGACACTGCAGTATTTGGATATCCTGAGGACACCTCCCTTGACCCAATGCATGGAGCTACAGTCAGCAGTCAGCGCCTTAGGGAGTCAAGAGAGGGAAATAGGATTAGGAGAGAAATAGCCAGATTTCTGGTAGAAAAAGATCTTAGCCCATACAATCCAAATCCTTCAAAGATATAAGAACATTGGCCGCATCCGGCTCCAGACACTTCCGCTGTTACGGACCCTCTCTAGGAGACTATACTCCAAACCCCTCCGATGCTGGTCCATGGGATTCCACCCAGGGTAAGTGCCCTCCTTCTCCTCTCATCCGTAAATTCTACTCCAACTGTTCTCCCAGCACCCACTGTCCTCATATCCACCTTACTCCTCAACCTGGGTTTTGGGGAAACCTCCTCCTAAAAAGACTTCAGAAAGGAATTCCAAGCACCAGCGTCTTGCCAAGAAAAGGCGGATCTTGGAACGGAGAGGCATGCTGAAGAAGCAGCAACAGCCATCTGACAAGGTGCCTAAGTTGCACTTAGACCCTCCAAAGAAAGAGGAGATTCCGAAGGTAGATGGCATTTGGAGTGCCCTTCCTTTCCCCAAAAGGAGAAAGAGCTGCCTCCAGCAGTGGAGCTGAGCCGGCCCTGGAGAAGAAAGCGGGAGTGTCGTGGCTGACCCCTGCCCCAGCACAGAAGGGCTGTTCTCTCTAGGTTCAAGCAGACTTGCTGGGAGAGTCCCAGAGTGCCGTTCCGAAGGGGAAGAGCCCAGTTGGCTGTGCCAAGTGGGCACAGGGCCCAAGGGAACATGTCAGCTCCTTAGCCCGATGTAGCATTATCAACTATGGCGGTGATGTGCTTGAGGTAGTTAGTTTATTGTGCCAACCTAGCCGATAAACACATGTGGGGTTAATTGAAGGGCGGAGAGATAAATGGCTCAGTGAGCCTGGCCTTTCTAGTTCTTGGGTCTCTTGATTTCTGATGATCAAAACAGGGTGCAGCTGCCTTAGCCAGTTCCCTGTTTCAACTGGCAAGGCTCATGTCCTGCAAGACATCCCTGAGGAGAAGCCACATGGATCTACCCCGATGCAGCCCTGGGTGCTGGAGCAGTTGTGTGGAGATCCCTGCCAGCACTGAGATGCTTACACATTCACTGATTCAGCTTTCCTCCTGCAGTTGGCATCATTGCACATATTTTGTGAGATGGAGGAGGACTTTGTAGATTGGTGTCAGACATATGGGCTAATGTTGGACTTGTGTGCTTGGGCAGCACTGGGTTGGGATGTTTTCTTGATGTGCACTTACCCTTTATATAAGACTCTCTCATATATAGTTCCTGTGGATTTGTTTCTCTAATGTACCCAGACTAACACAGTGCTGTACGGCGAGGATATCCTGCCCCCCTGCCCCGTAGCCCTGCCCCATCATGGTTTACCCAACCAGATGGAATGGGATACGGAAGCAGCACAGTGAATGGTACACCCTTCAAGATTCCCCAGAGCCAGATCTCGGAGATACTCACAGGGAAGATAGTGGTGGGGCATTGCTATCCACAATGACTTCAAAGCCCTCCAGTACCTCCACCCCAAGTGTCTGACCCTCGGTACCTCCCACAATCCCCCTCCTCAACCGGAAGGCCGGACTGCCCAGAGAATACCACAGTGTCTCTGAAGCATCTCACCCAGGAGCTGCAGAATCAGGGACATTTGGGTTTGAAAAACGTGGACATCCCTGCCCGGGCAAGGTACCTAGGCCACCATGGCTGGATACATTGGTTGAAGTCAAGTGGGAACAGCACCTGGCCCAGAATCCCCACAAAAGACTAGCGGCAGTGGGAACGCTAGTGAGGTGGGAAGGAGAAACAGTCAGTATGTCAGCAGAAAGAAGGGACCAGTGCACAGCTCTGCCAGCTCCACACCCCGGCCTTAATTTCCATTGCAACCTTACCTCAGGTGCTGTGTTCTGTGTCTGGTGAAGTGGCCCACGCAAGTGGGAACCCTCCGTGTCAGAATCCAGCCTACACTGTTTACCTCCTGGATGGTGCTAACCACAGGTGCCTAGGGTGCTTTGCTCCCGTCAAGCCTTTTGACGTTCAAGGGGTAGGGCATACCAAGATGTCAGTTCCCCAACAGCCTTATCTCTAGGGTAGTCATGGGGCCCCGCTGATGCCTTTGCCTCTGCACCCTCTCTCACTCCGAGGTCTCCTGGTTTCGGTGGTGAATTAATTGTATGGGCACATACAGAGCAGGGACTCAGGGACTCGGCTCAGGGTCTCCATCTGGCCCGAGTCTGAATGCTGTTGTTCTTCCCACCATGACTCCCCCAGGGACCATCCCTGCTGAGGTGGAGTTCCCCTTCGGGCTACAAGCTCTAGAGGTAAGAGCAAAATCTGGACATCAATGCAAAGAAAGCAAGCTCTTCCTAAGATTCATTCCATTCGGGTCCCTCTCTTGAGGTTAAAAAAGAATTTAAAGTGTTTTAAAGGGTTTTTAGTTATCGTTTACTGTGCTGAAGCAAGCCTCTGAAAACAAATGACTCCTCTAATTTTTTTTATAAAAGGGGAGGGGGAAAAAAAGATGAGAACATTAGTGTTCACCGTCGGAGAGAGCCTTCCCAAGTTCCAGCTGGGGAGCCTGGGTCAGAGTTCATGCGTATAGTCTTTTAGGATGGGGGCCACTGCACTTCAAAAAAACCAAAAAACGCTCTCAACAACTTGACAGTGTATAACAAAGCTATAAAATATGTGGACTCTTGGTCCCTGTAATTTCTCTCTTGGGGAAGTGGGAGGGAAGGGGGGATGTGCAAGATGTTTGTAGCAAATTTAGTAGCAAAACTCATCGCCAGCCTCAAACCCCTGCAAGGAAAATGTTGCCAAGTTCCTGGGGCTGGGTGAGCACAAGGAGGAATAAACAGGTTGATTTAAAATGACCAGGATGTGAACGACAGTCAAAACAAACTGCCATTGAGTCGATGGTGACTCATCAAAACACTCACACCCAATGCCATCCAGTTGATTCTGGTGCATGCAACCCTCAAGGACACAGTAGAACTGTCCCTGTAGGTTCCCTTGTGGGAGTAGAAAGCCTTCTCTTTCTAGCTCAGAGTGGCCTCTGGGTTTGAACTGCTCACCTTGTGGTTAGCAGCCCAACTCCTAACCCACAACACCACCAAGGCTCCCTCAAGAAAGTATAAAAGAAGAGAGGCGGATCTACTGGGATAACATTTTGTAGCTTAATGCTCTTACTTTTCTTTCTTTTTCTTTTTTTCCCCTATAAAGTTGCTTAAGCTCGGTAAGTTAAAAGGAGAGCGAGAACGTCAAGCTCAAACATTTGTTCGGGTAGTAAAGACACGCTGGGACAGAAGTTCTCTTAGACTGTTGGTGGGAGTATAAGTTGATTGGCCTTTCTGGACAAACCGTTTTGAAACTTTACTAAGAATCTTAAAAACAAAGGAAAAACTAAACAAAAAAATCCCATCCTTGCCATCGAGTCGATTCTGACCCAGCGACCCCATAGGACAGAGTAAAACTGCCCCTGTGGGTTTCTCAGATTGTAGGAGAAAGCCCAGTCTTTCTCCACAGAGCGACTAGTGGTTTCAAACTGCTGACCTTGTGGTTAGCCGCCCAAAGCATAACCAGTACACTACCAGGGC